GGCAGAAGGGTATGAATAATAGTCCCAATAAAAAATTTAAAATCCCTTGAAGTATTTCTAAAATACGTATTCTGTAAAATAGCTCTTTTGCTTTTTTGAATGAAGGAAAGTTTATTAATCCGTAGAAGACAGAATATTCGCATGGAAGATCACTGAACATTTATACATGCAATAGACATTGTACAACATTTCATACACGAAGGGGATTCCTCCATATATTTACATACTGGCAGTGGAACACTTCCTGAATGTCACCGGATAACCTAAGAGGGTGATAAGCACCATCACATTTCTTTTCAGATAAACTTACAATGGAAAAAGTGTAAATCCTTTCAGCAAAAGGTCCTTAATAGGAAAAAGGCTAGAGCTCAATCAATCATCTGTAGTTATTGTGCAGAAGTCTTACATTCAGAGCACTTCATTTTTCAGATGGCTCTAGGCTTGTCTGAAATCTTGAAGGAGCAACACATAGTGGTTATTTCTGTAATTGTCCAAAGGCATGAAGTTATTAGCAAGTAAAATAGATTTTAAGTAAAAGGCAAAAATGAAATATGTATATGATTTTTCCTTCTAATGCTATGTATATGCTATGTAGTGTAAATGAAAGATGTTAAAGCAAATATTTCTATCAAGAAACAAACTCTCTTCTGAATGACAGGGCAATTCAATCTGGCTAAAAATGATAGGTTATAACAGTTTTTCAGTTATCCCCCCCCCGCCCCCTCTCCCCCCACACACAGAGTTTGGGACCTTGATTCAGCCTCTTGCTTTATGACCACAAGCAGGCATCATTTTCACGCCCCACATGATACTGGCAGGGTTGAGTGAGATGGCTTAATCTGTGTTCTTTGGATAATCATAAAAAAATATGTAGGGGCTTCAATATTTTCATTGGAACTAAGCAGAATTTGGCTTGTGGTTTAGAACATTTTTCACAGCAAGGGACAAGAATTAGGATTGGGAACTGGAAAGAAACATAACAATGCCAGTGCTCCTGACTCTGCCCTTTGTTATGGGTTATTGGAAAAGCCTTCTGTATCCTTTTCATTTGTCTCTTTACTTGCAGGAGAGAATATGGAACAGGCATTAACCAGCTTTTGCACTAAGTATTGTGGCAATCTACTTAAAATAATGGAAGAGTGCTTTTGACTTTAAAAAAATACATAAATCAAACTGATAAAACTCATAAGTCTGATGGGAGGCTGTTTTATTGTAATATTTAATCAGGTTGGTTTGTCTTTCTCCATAAGGTCACACATATTTTGAGTCATAATATAAACTGTAAGTTTCTTCCTTGTATGTGTGTCTCTGAAGCACTGTTTTGAAAGCAGACCTATTATATAGGTGAAATGAGAACGGTCTATTGGTATTCATGAGGAGTAATGCTCTACAAAGAGGCTATACATTCAATCCACTTATTATAAACAGAAATAGAAATGCTTGTAAATAAGGAGGAAATGTATGTAGTGCATGCATGTAAAGTACAAGTCTTGCTGAATTTTCCTCTGGTTTGAAGAAAATACTGAAGACATTTTCTTGCTTTAAATTTACATTACTTTTAGGAATTATGTTCTTTGTAATCTATACTAATGGATTGTCTTTGAGATTGTGCGCCCAACCCTTGGCCTGGCTGAATTGTACAGGAACAGGGAGCCAATGTTGGCATTAGGCCACATTTCTGCCCCTCACCTGGATCACTAGGAGCAGCCAGGATGTTGATTTGGCTCCTAGCACAACTTAGAGACTTCTTTGTTTGAGAGATGCCTCATTGCTCATTCTTTTTGGGGTTAAAAGCATCAAATTTGTAAGAAAAGAAACAAAAGATTTCTATATAAACAGAAAAATCCCAGTTTGGGTTACAAGAAGTTCTTCTTCAGTGATTGGTCCCTATTGTAGTCCATTGAGGGTTTACATATACACACCATGTGTCCAGAGCCGGAGAATTTGAAAGTAGTAGTGTCCATTGGTCCTCACATGCACCCTTGCTTTGCCTCATGGTTTCGTTTGAGGTGATAAAGGGCAGGGTGAACTGGCCACATCTCCAGTTCCTTCTCACGGCCGCAGAGTCCAGTTGAAGCTACTAGTGTCCTCTTGTGTGTTGTGTGTGTGTGTGTGTGTGTGTGTGTGTATATACTTAGTTTTTGTTGTAGTATTTGCTGTTTTTACTGTTTTAACATAGTTTTAGCTTTTTTTAGTAGTATTTGGAATAGAACTGAGACTTTGGGGGAATCTGTTTACTGGTTATACCCTCCCTCCGTACCCAGGTGTGGGTACTGGACTATGCCGAAGATGCCAGGATTTAAGATCTGCGCCTCCTGTCCACGTTCCTTCTCGATCAGCAACTAACATCAACACTGCCTCAACCGCTTGGGAGAAACCCACATTTCATTCAGCTGCAGTATCTGCCAGTCCTTCCCAAGCCATACCCGAGAAGGCCAGGCTCTCTGCCTTAAGAAGCACCTCATGGAAGTCACCATAAGGTCTCAGTCGTACTCAGGCTGGGGAACTGCCCCCTGTATATTGGCCTGAGACAGCCAGGTATGCGTCTCCGGCTCTGGAGATCGAGTCCACCTCCAGTGGTAGCACCAGTACAGACCCCATGCTGGGGCCTAGGTGGGAGATGAGAAAGCATGTGCATAAGCATGGCAGTAAATCTTCTTCCAAATTGAAGAAGGGCAATGTGCCTTCCATGAGTTCCACACCCTCCAGGATTTAAGAGCCACACTTTAATCAATGGGTATCTACACACCTGCACCCAAGCAGAAATTTTACCATCTGCTCACCTACACAACGGTTCAGGACTTCCCAGTTCTTCCACCAAAAACCATACGAACCATCATGCAAGCACCAGACGACCCAACAATCCTGTCCTCCAGGCCTGCCTTCATCCTCACACATACAACCCTCTTAGAAAAGATATTTCTGAGACCACTAGAGAGCCGCCAACCTTCTCTGCATGTCAGCCTGTCCCCGATTTCCCATTCCCACTTTCTCCGAGCTGCTAATGCACCACAACAGCAGGATCAGACATTCCGATCCACAGATGCTTCACCTCAGAGCATGGTATTTGGATGGGCATCTTCTCTAGAAGAGTGCTCGTTGGAAATGAAAGGCATCCTATTGAGCAGTAGGAAATAGTACATTAGGTGTTCCTACTGGACCATGTGGAAATGCTTTGCCTCCTAGGCCCAACAAAAAGGGCTTTTCCCAGAGGACGTGAAGATTCCACTTCTTTTGGATTACTTCCTGTTCTTGAAGATGTCAGGGATTGCCCTAAACTCTTTCAAGGTCCACTTTCCCATGGAAGGACACTCTGTATTTACACATCCGTTGATTAGTATGTTTTGGAAAGGCTGTTTGAGAATGTCTCACCTGTACAACCTATTGCTCCCCAATGGGACCTCAACCTCGTTCTATCGGCACTGATGAAACAACCCTTTGAGCTGCTGGCTTCATGTTCTATGATCCTTCTTTCCATGAAAGTCACCTTCCTTGTGGCTATCACTTCAGTGAGATTGGTAGGAGAACTTGGTGCTATGATGGCAGATCCCCTCCTTTCACCACTTTCCATAAAGACAAAGTCTCCCTGCACCTACATCTTAAGTTTCTACCAAAGTTTCTCTCTCGGTTTCATCTCAGTCAACCCATCCACTTATCTGCTTTCTTCCTGAAGCCTAATGGCTTGGAAGAGGAGTGATGACTTCACTCCCTTGGCATCCACTGGGCCTTGGCCATCTACCTACAGAGGACAAGATTGATCAGAAAGTCTCCTAGATTATTTATCGCAATAGCGGAGAGTTAAGGGGCAAGCAATTTCCACATAGAGAATCTCCAAATGGATTTCTGGATGCATTACACTATGCTATTGTTGTCGGACGTAGGGCCCATTCCACTTAGGGCCCAAGTGTCCACCATGGTCACCCTCCATGATATACTGCTTAGGGACATATGTAGGGCGGCCATGTGGAGTTCAGTACATACCTTCACTATACATTATGCCTTAGTGCAGAACTTTGTGACAGATGCCTCATTCGGCATGACTGTCCTCCGCTCAACTGTTCCATCTTCAGCTTCACACCCTCCTCTGAAAAAGGTACTGCTTGTTAGTCATCCTCAGTGGAATACAATAGGGACCATCACTCGAAGAAAAAGAGGAGGTTACTTCTCTGTAACTGAAGGTTCTTCGAGATGTGTGGTCCCTATCTGTATTCCACCTCCCGCTCTGCTGCGGATCTGTTGGATTTGCAGTAGGGAAGGAACTGGAGACATGGTCGGTCCTCCCTGCCCTTTATCGCCTTGGACTAAACCGTGAGGTGAAGCAAGGGTGCGTGCGCGGACCAACGGACACCACTACTTTGAAATTCTCCAGCTTCAGTCACATGGCACATGCGTAAACCCTCAGTGGAATACAGATAGGGGCCACACATCTCGAAGAACCTCCAGTTACAGGTAAGTAACCTCTTTGGCTCCAACTACTGCTTAGTCCTGCCTTTGACAACCAGCCACTGTAGCTGCTTGTATAGGGCTCCTTGGCTTTCCATTGACTATCTGATGGAGACTAAAGTCCCTAGTCTTCCTTCATTATGCCACCCTGTCCACCTAAGCTTAGTGTTAATTTATTGCTTGATGATGTTCAGTAGGTCAAGTGCACTGTGTCACAGCAGTGCCCATATTTTGGTCAATTTGATTTGACATCGATGAGAATGAGAGTCCTACTGACCCAAGCATGGCAAGATCAAGTGCTGCAACACCCCTAAGCTCACTTGAAAATTCCAGCCAGAGTATCTCAATGTCTATTCTGAGACTTGGTATTTTATTACACGTAGTGTGTGGAAAAGCAAAGAAATGAAACAATCCAAAATGCCAATTCACTGAATCTCTGAAGTCTTTATATTCTGCGAAAGTCACATATGACAGTGTCCTATGTTGATTAATATTCTGAAGGATTCATGAGACAGTGTTTGTAAGCTCTGAAAAAAAATATTGGTTTATTTTTGCAGAGCATTGGCTGTGATGACTACCTGGGCTCAGACAAGGTGGCTGACAAATGCGGAATATGCGGAGGGGACAACACTGGTTGCAAGGTGGTCTCTGGCGTTTTCAAACACACGCTAACAAATCTTGGCTACCACAAAATAGTAGAAATTCCTGAAGGGGCTATTAAAATCAACATTACCGAGATGTCCAAGAGCAACAACTACTTGGGTAAGTTGTATTTCATTCCAGATAAAACATGATTGGTGTGATGATTCAGTTTGCCTGGAGGTTTGTCCCAGTTAGTGCTCTCTCAGCAAAGTGAGAGGAAATGCAAAGGCATAGATGAAAATTATTGACAAGAATACTAACTCATTGTTTCTGTTTCTCGGTTATACTGGCAGGACAAACCCCACGATTTGTATCTATTGCCCTGTCCAGGAGAGTTTTACTTTGACTTTCCCTGTTCATTCGTTCCAATGTGGGAAATATATTTCACACTTTCTAAATCTTCTCTAAAATGTTAGTGAGGCCATTGTCTCCAGCAAGGCAGGCTGCTAGTCAGTTGAAAGCCATTGAAAACAGGATTCTCCTATTTCCTTAAAAAAACACCACGACAACATGCAGAACTTTTAATGCAAAAGGTACCCTGATCACAGTCACAGCACCGAGTATTTATGTGTGTGTGTTTGTTTGTTTTGGGAAGGCATCTGCAGAATACAGATGTGTCATTCAGATGTGAAGAAATATCATGAGAATTAAATAGGAAGTGAGAATCTGGGAGTATCAGATAACACCAGACATCTGGAGGTACGTTTTCAGAGCTGACTGGTGTCTGGTATTGGGGCTGGTGTGGAACTTCCTGTTTTACAAACATAGACCTGCCATGTCTACCATTTGTGAGTTTTTCCCTATTTGGCTTCCCATGTGTGGCATGGATTCACACAGCTCATCTGCAAGGCCCCTAGCCTGTCCTCATTTAAGTCCCTCTTAAAGACCCACTTCTGCCAGACTGCCTAAAGCAAATCCAGTTATATTGGTGCGCCCATCGTGAGTGCCATTAGCAAACATAAACAACAGTGGAGCTCTGCCTGAGAGCTTTCAAAGATTCCAGATCAAAAGGGATCATTGTGGTCTTCTAGTCTGACCTCCTGTATAACACAGGCCATGGAACTTCCCCAAAATAAATCCTAGAGCAGATCTTTTAGAAAAACATCCAATCTTGACTTAAAAATGGTAAGGGATGAAGAATCCACCATGACCCTTAGACTGTAATCAGATCACCCTTTAACATTCTCTTTGTTAGACTCCAGCTCCATCTATTTAGCTTATCACAATAATAGGTTTTCAAATCCTTTAATCATTCCTGTGGATGTTCTCTGAATCCTTTCCAATTTTTTCAACTTCCTTTTGAATTGTGGACCCCAGAACTGGCCACAGTATTCCAGCAGCGGTCACACTAGTGCCAAATACAGAAGTAAAATAACCTCTCTATTCCTACTAAGAGATTCCCCCGTTTATGCATCAAAGGATTGCATTTGATCTTTTGGTCACAGCATCACAGTGGGATCTCATGTTCAGCTCATTATTCACCCCCTCCCCCAATTTTTTTTCCAAAATCTTCACCACTGTCCTCCTTAGCCCTCACTCCTAGAATTGTCCAAGTGCATTAGAAGCTTCAGACCCTAGTATTCCATTTAACAGCTCTCCTAACATCTATTTCTAATGTCTCTGCCACTGCTAACCAACAGAAAGAAGGGAAACATTATTATCCTCATTGTCACTTGCCATCTTCTTATCCTTTCTGCTCTTTCCTTTGCACTTCCTACTTCTTTTTCTTCCGGTTGCTAGCAAGAGGTGGAAAGGAATTTGACTAGTTTTACAGAAATTTCTCTGTATAGACAGGAGTCCTTTGGGGAGGTAGAGAACTGTATATTGTAATGTGTCCTTGTACATTTCTTCCTTTAGCCAAAAGTGTGATTCTTCAGACTAATACAAGAAAGACCAGACTTGTGGTTCTGCTGACGTACTAAAACCTAGACATTTTGGAGCTCTTGTAAGAGAGCCTATTCACATAGTATTTCTGACCCTGGCTACTTCCCAATCAAAGAATTTTTCTGATAAGCTGTATATAAGCATGAGGTTTTGGTTTCCTCTCTGAACTTTTTGAGCTGTGTCCATCTCTCTTAACTAATTTGGTGATGAAGGGAATGAATTATTCTGTATGAGCAACTTCCATAGATACAGTATGTTTGGAAGAAAATGTGGAATTCTTATATCAAATGGGTGAAAATGTAGTTTGCCGGGCAAACTGCTGGAAGTCATCACATAGTGAAAGCTGTCAAACCATGAAATTGCAGATAATTTTTCTTTCAGATGTACATGCCAGCATCTGAAAACAGCAGAAAAACACCCTTAACCCTAGTGAAATATGCTGGGCCACGTGAACATTCTTTGAATGCACAGAGCAGAAAAATAGTAACATTTTTGCTTAAAAATAATCGAGACTCTTGGCATGTATGGGAAAATAGCAAGCCGTGTGTTTCCCATGCTTCTCCTCATTCCCAGAGCTCTTTCTGGTTTGTTTGTGCCATCACCAATTATTACATTTTTTTCGATACTGTCACATATGGTTCATTATGGATTTTAGATGGCTAAATCAACCAAATTAGCCTCCCTGACACTGAACATTCTTGGGTAGTGGTTCCATCCATGAAATTACCAGCCTCTCTGCTTATCCCATAAGGGCACAGCTAACTTCTCTGCTTTCACAAGTTGCAGTCAACTAATGATCTAGCAAATCCGCTTTTAAACAAGGCCCTGCTTTAGCATACAGGCAAAGAAGGTGAGCTAGAGGACCAGGATATGACAGCTTGCAAAATGTTCATTGATAGTTGATTGTGAAGTGCAATGGGGAATTAAAGGCAGACATTTCCCAGTAGGTGGAAGGCAACAAAGCTCCTGCAGCCAGCTCTGTGTTCAAAATCTGGGCACTCTGGCAGTTTTTGATAGAGAAGGACTTGAACCATAACATTGGATCTCAACATCCCCCAACACTGAGCTGTTCAAAACCCAGATCTGGAATTTGCAAACTTCCCTACATTTAGTGGGATGAATAGAAACCTTGAATCTAAACATGCCAGAGTTCAGGGTTCCCAACAGGGTCCCAATTCAACAAAGCACTTAAGCACGTACTTAATTGCTTTGATGAACTGTGGCTTAGGATCTAATTCTGCCACCTTTGCGCACATCAAACAGGAATTTATTACATAAATAATCCCACAAAGTCAACAGGGCTGCTTGTGGAGTAAGGTACTGCTTGATGTAAAGAAGGCAAAATTGGGTCCTTAGTTTTTTGTCACATAATATGCATATTGCATGTTTTTTCTTTCATTGCAGAATCGTGAATCACACTTCAGCAAACACCCTGGGAACCTACGCTGAGTTTTTAGTTTGTAACAAAACATGGAGGCCATCTATGCTCCATGTGGTTTCATTACACAGTTTTTGCACAGCACCAAATTTATCACACTTCTGCGCTTCACAATTTTGTGTCTGACAAACCCCAAATGCAGTGAGGAAAAACATGTTCTCACAATACAGTATTTCCAGCTTGGCTGAAACCAGGAAGTACTAGAAATGGTAGAGGAGATCATCTGTGGGGTTTCAAGTTGGATTTCTTGACCAAAGAGATTCAAATTCAGCTAAAATTCATACAAACATCTAAACATTTGTACGCTTCTCCAAACCAGATTTGCAAACCTTTTGAAGTTGACCCATCACTAGCAATTATAATTGGGAGCCAGGCCCAGAGTGTGCTAAGCAGAATGGCTTTGACAGCAATATTTAACGAGGGTAACTTGTTCATTCTTGCTAGTTCTAGGTGTAGTTTTCTCAGCAATTTGTTCAGACTAACATCTACATGAAAGAGACAGTGATTAGGGGATAATGATGTTTAAGTTGCTTATACTTTAAAACAATAATAAAATGTTGTCTTTAGAACAAAACCCTAGTGTTCGGAACAGGGTTTGTAGTGTTTCCAGAACATGTGATATTATCCAGGTATTCAGAAAATTCAAATTAAAAGAAGACATGCAGTAAATATCATAAGATCAGGGCAGACTGGTTCAAAAGTTAAGTATTTAAACACAGGTTACCTCAGGTGTCTTTAAATTTGACATTTCAGAAGAGATCTTCATAATATCCTTGGACAGTGTTCAGAGTTTTTTCAGCTTTGTTTGTTACCTAAATGGTCTCAAGTATAACACTATTATCTATGTATCCTTCAAAACACCTCAAAACTTTCCTAGTGATTATAAGTTTCCAGATTGTCTTTGTTCTGATTTCATTTCACGTGACATCACTTTCAAACATCTTGGGTGCTACTTATTTTAAACATTAAGTAGTAATGAGCATATTTACCAACTCACTTATTTTAGTCTCAGCAGTTCAATTTGGAAATGAGTTACAATTCAGATTACCTACCTACCTACCTACTAACTACCTTAGATTTAGACTCATCTCGATGCAGTCTGAACTCTACATGTAATTTGCATTACTTCTTTTGAAAGTGGTTCTCAGTAATGTATAATGTCTGACAAGCTTGTCAGACAGACATCTGATGCAACAGAGCAGTTGCCCACACTAAAATTCTTCATTTGGAGCAGCAGTTATGTGACATGCCCAGCTGTGCATAGAAATGGGATGAAGGCCTATTTTTTTTTTATCCCAATGGTAAAATTATGATCCATTGAAACTAATGGAAATTTTGCAATGGACTTAGGTGTGACCAGGATTTGTACCATTGACCTCTGTTGGTCTTACAATTCTACTTGAGCAGCAAAATGTTGTGTTTGAATGTAAATATTTTAACATCCTGGGGATTAAGACTTGGAGTAGATAAATAATTTAAAAGCTGTATAATATCAATCTGACACTGTTATTCTGAAAGTGGCTATTTTACCAGATGTCTTTAAGACCTAATTTGAAGGAGCTGATTGATTTTGTTATTCATTGCCTCTCAACAAATAGAGATCTTGGGGAAAGAATGTTCAGCATTAAGTATCAAAAGTTGGCTTATTAGTCTGTTGAGGATATAATGGCCAAAAAGCCACAAGTGATAAAAGTATATTAATCCTATCTAATGGTCTGATAATCTGGACAATCATATCTCCAGAAAAAAACTCCCATTCTGGACTCTGAAAACCTTAGCATCCAGTCCTACAAGCACT